AAATTACAAGATACAAAAACAGAAGATATCAACAAAATTTTAATTTTATAAAGAAAAATATTAACTTTGTGGCAGATATGGTAATGATTAATATATTGATGGATCTGTGATCTCATCTATTTGGGTACTTACTTGAATGGTACGAATTGCAAAAGATCTACATATTTCTCATGCTGTAGAATGCTTGCCAAAGTCTTCCCATAAATCTTCCAAATAAATGTACCCAATTTACCAAAGGCCTTTCATTTAACATTCTAAAGGAAACAGTGGAAACAATCAGACTGTCCTTTGTAATTTCTCTTTTCACAAGGTGCCCACTTACCTCCTTTGCCGATCTAATCTATATTCTTTAGAGCAAGTGTATGGAATCCTGTTCAGGTGTAGACAGGATATCTATCTTGTGATGGACCATCTGGATAGTCCCCAATTTTAGCTCACCATTTATGAGAGGAATAGATGAATGACTACTTGGGATACTAACTCCAACATGAATTTAACAAAACAACACAAACAACACAAACCCTTGCCCAAAATGGAACAAGTTCACCTAGTTTTCAGTAGTTCTAAAAACCAGACTGGCTTATAAGAAAATTCTCATGTATTTATTATTTTTGTTAATTTCTCTTAAGTCAAGCCACAAGTAAACAGATACTTCTATTATTTAAGTCCTCTTTCAAATTAGCTCAAATTACATTAGTTGATTTTGAATGGCTTTAAATAATTTTCTAAAACTTGGGCCCAGCCCATCTAGCCTACGTATAAATGGGCAGGACTCTGCATACTCCAGTAACACAAGTGTAAATAAATTACTATTATTAAGACGAAGGAGTCCCAAACCTAAGACTCTAAGAAATAGAAAACATCAAAATATTAATGGTAAATAAGATGTTATTGCCTTAATTTCCCCTACCCAAACTATCTTTGGTCATCTTCATAAACCCAAGTAATATCAGAAACAACTAAAAGAATGGTGAGAGGGTAGACCCTAAAGTATAAAGCCAATAAACTTTTAAAATAATATGTCTGCTCTATCCATGTCTTTTCATTTTTTAAAATCTATCTCAAATTACATTGTCCAAAATCAGACTTCAAGATATTTACAAATGGGGACCATTTTTTTCTAAGTGCTTTTTATAAAGTGCTTAACAAAGCACAATAAATATAGAATAAAAGTACAGGTAAAGTGAGCTAAATAGGGAAACAACATGCCTGGGTTTGTTCAAAACTGAAATTAATTAATTGACCCACCTGCTTTTAATGCTTCCCCCTCAAAAATGTCAGTAAGTAGTCAACTCTTAATTATTTGGATATGATAAGCAGAAAGCTCTGATGCAAACAAGAGAAAACCTCAGATCATCATCTAGCTGAGTAGAATAAAATCCTCAAGTAAGAAAGAGTCCTGTCCCTCACGGTAAGACAACTTTGAAAGATTGAAAGCCAAAAGGAAACTAGGATAAAGAGAACTAGCTCTTTTCTCTCTTCTGAAATCCAGTCCCTCATCTCCAGTTGTCTACTGGATACCTCCACCTGGATGTCCCAAAGGCAGCTAAAATGCACCATGTCCAAAACAGAATTCATTATTTTTCTACTTAAACTCACCCTCTTCCCTATTACTATTAGGTCCCACCCTTATGGGTGCTCAACCAACGGAATCATACTCAACTCTTCCTTCTTACCACCTATTTCCAATCAGATGCCAAATTCTATGGAATTCTACCAACACAACACCTCTCATATTCACCTCCCCTCCACTTATAGTACAACCAAAATAATTCAAGCTTTCCTCACCCAGATTGCTAAAATAGTCTACTACTTTGGCCTCCTTGCATCCAATTTCTTTGCTTTCTTCTCTATCCCCCATCTACCTATCAAATTGACATTGCTAAAGCAGAGGTCAAACCACGTCACCCCTCTGCTCAAAAAGCTTCCATGGTTCTCTAGGATGGGTTCTAGGATGAAAGGTAAGCTCCTCCATTGGGCATTTAAGGCCCTTCACAATCTGACTCCGGCCTATCGTTCCAGGCTGACTACACATTCCTCTCCCTTATGTACCCTATGCTCCAGGCAAACTGGCCTAGCTATAGTCCCCAGTACCAAATAGTCTCTGTCCAGCCTCCATACCTTGCACAAGCTGCACCCCATTTCCAACATGTTCTACCTCCTAAACTCTGCCTCTGGGAAGCTCCCTTCAAGGCTTAGCTCAATTGCTACCTCCTTAAAGAGTCCTTTTCTGACTACCCCAGTTGTTAAGCACATTGGTTAGTTAACCTCACCCATCACTTTTATTTATTTTACATATATTCTATATTTATGTTCTGTGAACATATTGTATCCCCGAGTAGAAGATAAGCCCCATAAGACCAGGGACTGTCTCACCTTTGTATTTGTATTCCCAGTCTCGTTTAGTCCCTATTTATTCATTGTATTCCCAGTCCCTGGAACATAGTAAGAGCTTATTAAATGTTTACTGATTGATTTAACCCTCCAATTTACAGCTGAGGGAACTGAGCCCTGAAAGTTAAAAAGACATGCCCAATGTTACAATGAGAGTAAGCAGCAGAGGCAAGTTTCAAACCCCTCCTCTGATTCCAAATCTACTGCACCACATTACTCGACATAATAAATATTGGGGAGAAGTCAATTTTTTCAAGCAGTTTTTATGAAACCACATTTATACAAGTTATACAGCAGCTATAAAGGTCTAAAAATGTATTTAGTGCAAAACAGCTTTCAAAATTTGGTTTTTTAAATAGATTTCACCTTTCGCTGTCTATATAGAATAAAATTCCACTGAAGAGTTACATTATTCTTCATATTTGAAATTAAACTTTTGGAGGAAAAAAACAGTATTGGCCCACATATTCAATATTATGAAAATACTATTACATTTGGTACAAAACACTATTTTGTGACATTAAAATAAATAACCTAATTTCATAATCCAGGGTCTTACAGTATTATAAATGCAAAATGGGACTGATATTGATTTTTTAAAAAAATGTTTTAACTGGCTTGCTGAATATATAGTATAACAGACAGCTATGTTATTATGAGAAGCTCTTAATATCTACTGACTTTTTTTTAACTGTTACTCCTGAATTGTGGGACCATAACTGCACACAGCCTTCCTCTGTTTTCTAATGTCCCTCTCAAAAATACCAGCAAACTAGATAATCTACCAAAGACTCTATCGGATTTATTTTTAAACTATGCATCTGGGTCTATTTGTGAAATTCTCTGTTACAATTAATCAACCAATAAAAACTGATTAAACAACCTAATAAGCAGCTATAAAGGCCTATGGAATATATTAAATACAACAAGTCTAAGGCCCTTAAAACTTGTTACACCAAAATATCTTTTGAAATGTGTTGTTTGTGGATAGAGCATTGGCCTGGAGTCAGAAAGACCTGAGTTCAAATTTGGCCTCAGTGGGGCAGCTAGGTGACGCTGTGAATAGAGCACCGGGTCTTGAGTCAGGAGGACCTGAGTTCAAATATTACCTCAGACCAGACACTTGACACTTACTAGCTGTGTGACCCTGGACAAGTCACTTAACCCCAACTGCCTTGCAAGAATAAATAAATAAATGAAACAAATTTGGCCTCAGACACTTCCTAGCTGTGTGATCCTGGGCAAGTCACTTAATCCTATTTGCCTCAGTTTCCTCATCTGTAAAATAAGCTGGAGAAGGAAATGGCAAACCACTCTAGTATCTCTGACAGGAAAACCTCAAATGGGGTCACAAAGAGTTGGATATGATTGAACAACAAAAATGTGCTAGGCACTGTTTGAAGTACTGAGGATACAAAGAGAGTTACAAGGTATCCCATCCCCTTGAAGAGTTCGTAATCTAATGGAGAAAACAACATGCAAACAATTACGTAAAAATAAGCTATATACTGGGTACCAAATTGAAAATAACCAACAGAGGGAAGGCACTAAAATTAAGAGGAAAGGCTTCCTACAGAAGGTGGAATTTTAGCTGGGACCTGAAGGAAGCCAGAGAAAACAGGAGGTGGAGAGGGACAAAGTGATAGATGGAGCAGAACAGGGAGAGGGAGAGAGAGGAAAAGGAAGAGGGAGAAGGGGAATGAGAGGAGAGAAGGAGAAATGGAGGGGGAGGGGTGTGTGTGTGTGTGTGTGTGTGTGTGTGTGTGTGTAAAAGACAGAAACGGAGATAGAAGACTGAGAGGCAGAAAGACAGAGATAGACAGAGAGAAAACACACATTCAATGCATGAGGGATAGTCAGTGAACATGCCTGCAGTCAGAAGAATTCAGATTATGTTGAAAAAAATCGAGACTGCAAAAATATTTCTCACAAGATCTTTTTCATTGGCTCACCAGGCAGAGTCAAAACCATCTCAGGAACTCAGTTCATAGTTAGGTTCCAGATGGAATAAACTCTGAAGTAGGGATGGATCCACTATCACATATTTTCCCTTGAATTTTTCCATTTGAGTAATATTAACTCTACTACAATAGATATCCCTGTTGGGTTCTGCTGGAAAAGAGGGTTGCCCGGTAGGACCTGGGGCTTTAATATATGTTCAAGACATGCTCAAATTTACATAAACATCTTTTCTTTCTATTTCAACTGTTTAACCTTCTTCACACAATACACAAAGACAAAATTCAAAATGTTTTGTCCAATTATTTTTAGAATATTTCAACATTTGGGAGAAGGAAGGGTGTAGAGGGAAAGAAGTATTTTGGTTTCATACCCAAATAAAATTTTGTTAAGTGCATTAATCTGCTGAATTGCAATCACTATTTGAAAGTAAACCCCACCACATGCAAACTGTTTGCAACTTCAAATATATTATGTGAAAGAGAAAATTCATTCTTAGAAGTTAAGCAGAATTTTTTAATTAAGCAATCAAAGCAAAAGCAAAGAAATATGTACTTTTAGAAGTTAATTATGAGAAAGCTCTTATCAGTAACTCATCATAAATAAAAGATATTCAAGTCTTGTATTTGTCAGGGCTAAATCTGAACCTGTTACAGCAGAAATCTCTTTCAACTCAGCAAGTGGAGAGGATAGTTCAGCATCTACAGCTTTGTCTTCCATTGAATTGCAATTCAAATCAAATGCTGCAGTCCCCAATCCATCCACAAAGTACTGGTGTGTTAGTTCAGATGAGCTTTTATCAGACTGGACAGGAGATTCTAACTGACCTAAAAGAAAAAAATGAAAGCTTGGCAACCATACATTTGCCAGTCAAAAACATTACACAAAAATCATGGAACAGGCAGTTGCATGACAACACATGATGAGGACAGCCAGTTACTTTCTAACAAAGATTAACGTTCACAATGAGCATTAAGTTGTTAAAAACCAAAGCTGAAATTACATAAATACATATTTAGGACTGATATCATTCCTAAATGGAAACGAAGGAGGAGCTAACTAAAGCAAGAAACTGAGTCACTGAGGATGAAAATATAGAAGAATAAAGAATAGGAAATACAATCTAAGTTTGTTTTACAGAGTAGCAGAATCACATCAATAATGTATTTCTAAACCAACTTTCTGAAACTCTTACCATAAGGATATTGAAACCTGACTATAACATTTAGAAAATCTCTCAACCAATTTAGTAAAGAATAATGTATCGGGAAATCACTGCAACACATTGAAGAATTTGATTTCAAGAGGATTTCTTATTTGTTTAAGGCATATAAAAAGGTTTGATAAACTCCATTTCCTTAATTTATACATATTAGCCACCAGAAGAGCAGGAAACTGGTACATTATAGACAGATACTTACCTTCTTCTGATTCCTTGGCAAGAAGCAAAGTATCTTCTGAAGCAGCACTATCACCCACATTTGATATGACCAAGTCTGCATCTAGGATGTCATGGCTTCCACTATTAGAAAGCCTTGATGATCGTCTCCTGGTCAAGTCTTTGTCATTATTTTCTGGGTAGGTTTTTGGCTTTTCCTGAGCTAAAAACCATTAACAGAGTTGTAGTTAGTTGTGATTAATTTTAACATAGATATATCAAAGCTAAGACTGACTTTCTGGCTGGATTAACTTCTTATTCAGTATCTCACAGAAAGGCTTATGGAATCTTACTCCAGTACACAAAAGAAAACATTTTCCCATTTTATATTTTTTAAAAGGTTGTGGTCTTGTTGCCAAAGGAAAATTTTACTTATATAAAGATTTTATAGTCTGAAAATATATGTAATGGGGGTCATTCACAAATCCTAGCTATTAAGATCTATTTGGAAACTCCCCAAGAGTCCCAAATTCTATGTTACAATTCCCAAAGTCAATAATGTGGTTTATTCAGCATTTCGCTCAGAATGAGAGACTAAAAATATTAGCAAGTCATTAAACTTATATCATGGTACATTCAAAATCAAATGTACTATCCTTTGTGTATAAATACAAGGCTATTAATCCACCCTCAAAATAGCACATAGTTGAATATTCACTTTTCTAACATCAATTAAGGGTTTGCACCAGCCTAGCCCCACATCATACCATGGAATAGCTTCAAATATGCAAGACAATCGAGTAATGTAAGATAAAAGTTGTGAGTTTAGCTTCATCAAAATCATGCTCTAATCAACCAACCTAAAGATTCTCTCTCTTATGCACACACAAAATACTCACATGAATTTTTTTCAAGCCTGGGGCGCTTTAATGGGATTTCAGTTCCTTTTGATATTTTCCGGCGTCTTAATTCCAATGTTATTGGTTGCAAAGTTTGGGAATTTGGTTCTACAAAATCAAAGCAAATTTTAAAAAACAAGGAGAACTGAGCCAACTTCATTGACACATTCAAGGACATACATCTCTTTATGAAAATTACCTTATAACCAGCTAATTTGTTTGCTTTAGCTAAGAAAAGCAAGTTCAATTTTTCTTGTTCCTTCGCTGTTGCCTCTTATAAAGGTAGAAGGAGCTATTCATAATGCTATTATCCTTAAAAGAGCTGCTGATACATTGCAGACGACTAATATCAAGTAGCATTTTGATTTTCCACTTCTCTTTTATGTTTTACTCCTATTATAGACCTTCATTACCCCAACTCACACTCACGTTCCCCTAAGCCTTGGAGGTCAAACATGTCAAAACAATTAACTTCCTTTGAAGTGTCAAAGTGCTATGACAACCAACTAAATTAATACCTGACTTAATGTAATGATTTTTAAAAAGCCATTTCTCCTATCCTTTAGTATCACAGACCTAGGGCTAGAATAGCCCTCATTCAGAAGCTCTCTAGTCCTAACTCTTCATTTTACAGATGAGAAAATCCAGTCCCAAGAAAGCTATGGCTTGCCCAAGGTAACACAGGTAGAATGTACTAGAGTTGGGATTTGAACCTCTAACTCCAAAGCCAAGGTTCTTTCCACTTTATCAGGCTACTTCCCAAAGTCTTCTAAACTCTCATAGGAACTCTCAGTAAAATGACTGACTGTGAGTATACAATAGAAATGTTGTATAGACAACATCATAAAGTCTAAGTCCTAGACTTTTTCATGTGATTATGGCCTTCAAACCCTATCTGGAAAATCAGGTAACTTAAAGTTACCTGGTATGAATATAAGAAATATGAGTATATTTTCATATGGGGTCCCACAAATAATTCCATAAAGATCAACTGAATTTGCTGTTATGGTACACTCTCTAGTTATTTTTTCATTATTCTTGGCAAAGAATTTTTCATTATTCTTTGCTCTCTTAATTCTTAGTGGCATAATTTAGCAATGTCTGTTACTGATATTACTGTTTGTTTTTAAGCAAAAATACTTAATTATTTCTACCTATTCGAGAAGGCTAAGAGCCAAGAAGACAACTAGCTTAGAGAAGGAGGAGGAAATCTCATCTAAAGCTGATTTTCATCCATCAAAGCTTGTGCCTTGTTCCTCTCAGCCTCCTTTTCTTCCCCCTTCCCCCTCTCCACCCTTTCTCTCATATAAAGTAGGGCATAAGGAAACAGAATGGAAGAACTAGATAACTTCCTGGTTCTTCAGAAGTGATTTCATTTCACAGTGTTAATTTTTTTTTTAGATTTGTGAACATCATGATCACATACATGTCTAAACAACATACGATTATTCAAAAGGGTATACAAAAACACATTCCAAAGTCAAATACAGATTACATCCATTACAACCAAAAACAAGGATCTCCCAAACCTCACTGAACAGAACTCATTCAAGCAATTTTTACTACAACAAATTCCAAGGCAACAAAATAATTTGAATAATCTCTTAAGAGTCTGTTGTAACAAAATTTTACTTAACATCATCTGTACACTGCATCAAAAAACACTGCCATACAGAATAGACTATTACCGAGCTAGAAAGGACCTTAGAGGTCATCGAATTCACCCTATCATATTACAGAGGGGGAAAACTGAGGTCCAGGTCACACACAGCAAGTTTTGGGCTGTAACTCAAACCCAGTTTTACTGACTTCTGTTTTGATATCCTTTTCTGCTATAGCACATTACCTTCTGTCTAGGAACAAAGAGACACAATTTAAGGATTGATTAAATACTGTACTATTCCGCAGTTTTCCAAAACATCTTTGAAAACTGCCCCTGGATTATAAAGTTCATGTCACTCCTCCTTCCTAGCTCGACTACATCCTTCAATGTATCCTGACCCATACACCTAACTTTTCTTATCATATTTACACTGTTTTGAATTAATTTTAAAACTCTTCTCTTTGATAAATAATTGACTTAGTTTGAGTTTCCTTTCAGCAGTTGCTAATAAGGTGACACAAATGAAATTACTCAAATATGCAACAGCAAAAAACATCTGAGTTTGCTGAAATAGTTTATGTCTGCATGAAAATTTCTTCTGTATAACTATCACTGCAGTTCCAAATGCAACTGTGCATGTGGGCTGCAAAAAAAAAAAAATCTGTTGACTTGCGATGTCACTGCTTAAGGACAACAGCACAATTCAACTCTGTTTGCACATTTATGATCACAGAGACAGCATCTGAACATTACAGAACAACTTTTCCAAGCCAGTGATAATTGTGTCATAGTTGCCACAACTTCACTTCACCCACAACAAACAGACCATTTCCTATAGAAAAAGTCATGAGTTTCTGCAACCACACGCATGCTCTTCAGCACTCACCAGATGGAGGTATGGAAGGGGGCCGGCCTCTCTTTCTTTTGGGCTCCCTTAGATTTTCCTGTGTATTCTTCACAATGTCATTCTCTGGCTTCTTGTCTGCCTGGGTCTCCCCAGAATATTCTCTGTCATTTTCTGAAATATTCTCCTTGTCTTCTTTCTCATTCTTCGGCAGACCTTTTTCAGACCCCTTCCCTTTTTCAGGACTGACTAACTTTCCTTCTCTGTCAGGCTGTCTGGGTCTCTTTTCAGCCTTTAAAGTCTTGTCATCTTTGTCTTTCTTAGCATGAGCAGGCACTTTTCTCTGCTCTTTAAACTTCTCTCGGTTATCAGGAGATGAAAAGCTTTCGTTATCTTTTTCTTTAGGCCTGGCATTGCCCACAATATTCTAAAACAGGCAAAATAGCAGTGAGAAATATTTTTGTGATTACTTACAGTCTTGTATTGGAAGGCTTCTACAAAGATTTAAAGACAAATAAATATAAGATAACATTTGTTCTATCTCCATCTAACACTGAATTGTTCAAAAGAACCATTCAAATACCGTTCTTAAAAACATCTTCATAAACACCAGCCCTGGAGTCAGGAGGACCTGAGTTAAAATCTGACCTCAGACACATAACATTTACTAGCAGTGTGACCCTGGGCAAGTCACTTAACCCCAATTGCCTTGCAAAAAAAAAAAATCTTCAAGACTTAAAAAAAAAAAGTTTGCCATACTCCTATATTTCTGATAAGTAATGCATCTGAAATCCAGTTCTCCAATTCTGTAAAGCATTTACTACCTTATGCAGAAATTGCTAAGTACTAAAAATAATACACAAATCTATATTCAGTCCATGTTTTTAGAAGCATCATCAGAGAGGCTGAAAATATGCATGCAGTACCCAAACTCTTCCTTGGTGCTTTTACTATGTGTCAATTGTGAGGCACCTGAAAGCGATCCTTACCAAGTGAAGGAGTGCATTTAAACGACCATCACTACTCTCTGGCCGAGCTCCTTTACCAGGAAAGAGCCTATGGAGTATGATAAAGGTCATGATTGGACCAAGGACCTGTGCTATGTGTCCAAGATAATTTTCATCTCTGCCTTTAAGTGGCAGACTGTTATTATCTCTGAAGGATATCTATCTATCAACAAAAACACAGTCTCTGAACCCATAGTCTCTGAAATTTCTGATATCAAAAATACTTTCTCTGAATGCCCCTACCTTAGAAAGAAAAGCATAGAGAAAACAAAGGGAAAGGAATCATCTGTCAGTCCTCATTCCAAATAACAACTAATCTGGAGACAAAATTCATTACAAAGATCCAGGCTAAGAATTCTAAATAATATAAGACCATCAGTCTACAAATCCTCAAGCATCAGAGAACCTGAATCACAGAACTCAAAGACTCTGACAAGGCAGATGCCACTGTCCTAGCCAAAAAGGCTACAGCAAGTTTAGCCCTGGGCAAGGAAGAATCAAATCATTCTACCAGAGATGGCATGGGAAAGGGAAAAAGAGGCTATTTCCTACGACAAAGGTTCAAGTAAGACATTAACATTACAGTAAATAAAGTCTTTCAGAGGTAATAATAATTTAAAAAAAAAAGATTTTCCTAATCTATTCCTCATTTTACTATTTACTATTACTCATTCTTTTTGAAACCGTTATAACCAATAAGAACAAGGAAAAGAGAGAACAAAATATACCATTTTGGATCAATTAATGTACTAGATGAAAAGTTCAATATAACAATATAAGATAAATATCACTTAAATACTTATAATGTACCAAAACTGTGCACAGACAAAATAGACATACATCCACATGAAGTGACCTGAAAAGAAACCTGCCACAGGTGCCCCTCAGCATAGTGCTTGGCACAGAGTTAGTACATAATAAATTTTCTTTCTTTCTCTGTGTCTTTCTGTCTTTCTATCTTTCTTCCTTTCTATCCATCTATTTCCAAGCCAAGCTGGCCCTAGATCCAGAGCAGAAGTACCAGGGAATCCTAGTCTTCAAGGGATTCAAATGACTCTCGGGCAATCGCACACCTACCCCAAAAACTGAGGTAAATGAGAGAAGCAACACCAACACACTGGATGAGATTTTGGGTGAGGGTTCCTTATACAGGATCAAAAAAATGTTATTTCTACAACTATGTGACCTTTTTAACCAAACTTTTAAAATTAATTTTTTTTTTGTTTCCCTTAATTACCTAAGCCAGTCAGGTTAACTAGTAAAGCTGTGTCTTAGTTGATTAAAGTACTAAAGGATTGGCTTTTTGTGTTGTTTTGCTTTTTAATTCAAGCCAGAAAAGCTAAAGGAATTCATGTACCTTGGAGGCCATGCAACAAAAAAAAAAAAAAGAAAAAAGAAAAAGAGAAAGAAAGGCCGTCATTCAAACTGATCAGGGGTATGAACCTATTAGGAAGTATAGGAAAACCTTCCAGAGTGTGTTCAGGGCTTACATTAGAGTAATATTAATTACATTTATCACATGAAGAGATTCGTTATTAATTTAGCAAACCACTTTCTTCTTAAAAGAAAAGTATATTTTAAGCCCCACAACAAAATTATTTGCTTTATAAATCCCAAATAAGAAGAACCTGAATTAATGAGGTTTAATTGTAACTCAGAGTCCCATTTAGTGCCTCTGGATTATATCATTAAACAGAAAGGAACAATTAGTTGAAACACCAGAATTTTTTAATGGTCCGCTTTTCAATAGATTAGTTGTTTCCTTTTATAATGTAACATATTTAGAGAAGCATTTACTAAACTTATAAGGCAAATAGAAGCATTTAATTATCAAAGTACAAGACTCCATAAGACTCAATACTGAGAACTATTATACTGATTCACCACTAAAGAAGTGAGTAGCTTCACTGGATAATTAACAAACAATTTTACTAATTTACTAATAAAGTTCATTAAAAACCTGGGCTGTCTTAAAATATTTCAACAATTAATATTAACAATAAAAATTATAATTCTAGAAAAAAAAAGTCATCACCCATATTTTAAATCCTCTCTTTTCTCCCCAAAAGCTTCATTAGGTAATGGGTGTAAAATTCACTTAAAGGGAAAAAATATTCCAAAGGGCCAGAGCAAACTATAGTTTTGAGAAGGAATTAGTCCTGTTGGGCTCAAGAATGAGATAACAAAGAAAATAACAACTATCGTCCCAGGGCACTAAAACAACCTAAAAAGAAACGTTCTTCAGGTCTCCTCATGCCACTTGCTCAAGTAGAGTGGATAAAAATGGCTCTACGTGAAGAGAAAGGAAAGAAAAAAAGGATCAAGGAAATGCAGAAGTTGACAACTAAGTATGTGTTTGCATCCTAAGGACTCTGAGTTAAAGAGAATTATAAATCAAACCTATTACCAAGTATTTTACTCAGAAATGCTTTCTTTTCTTACTGTGAAATCTGTGTCAGAATGAGAGGATAAACATTTTTGCTATCATCAAAACAAAGCCAATGTCTTTATTTTTTTTAAGTAACTAAAACATTGGAATTATTCAAACTACATGCAAAGCACAAAACTGTGATTCTCACCTGATCTTTGGAAAAAGCTTTGACATGAATATGTTTGACAGTCTGAATTACTCCATCATAAAATTTCACAGTATACGTACCTAAAATTCAAAAATACATCATAAGTTTAACATTTGCATTTCAATTACAGAAACAACTTTTCAATGTTCAAAAACACAGAATTACCATCACACATCATCTGTAGGAATTAAAAATTACTTGGGAAATACTAAACTCTTACAACTGTGCGCTTGAGTTCATTTATCTGTCAGGACAAATACTTTAAGTACTAACTGAATGTAAAAAAAAAGATCTTACAAAAATATATTCATATGTCATGTACATATTTGTTTCTCTTGTGATTTAGTAAAATAAAAAAAAATTCACCTGAGCTTTTTACTGGAAAACACTTAAAGAGTATGGGACTGGTGCTTCTCTGCCAATGTAGGGGGATCGTGGGTTTAGAACACTGCATATAATCTCAGGTTTTTTATATATGAGGTAGTTTTGCTGAACTTTTTTTCTCTTTTTAATTTATCATTACAAGGGTTAGTTCTCTGAGAAATAGGAAACAAGGGGAAATGTAGGTAATATAAAAATCAAAAAAATACAGAAAAATTTATTTTAAAGAAGAAAACAGGGCAAATGTCCACTTGTTTATTCTACAATGAACTGTGAACATATACAACTGGAGACAGATCCTTTTGAAAGGTCTATGGGAAGCCCCATGTAACATAATTCTTAAAAATTATGAAAGAAATCTCATCTATTCACCCACATATCTACAAAAAAGAAAGCCTTGTTCATAATAACACAGCTGCATTACTAGATGAATACATAAATTATGCTCCATGATACAATAATATTTATAACTAAAGAGTCAAAACTTCTAGTCAGATGCTCTTCACTCACATCCATAGCTCTAGTCCATTTAGTACATGCATATTTCAGATTCAGGTGGAAAGTATATACTCACCTAAAAGCAAATTTATAAATTATTTCATTACAATACTGCCAAATTCAACAAAGTTTACTGCATGAGCCCAGTGATTTTCTACATTTTCCATCCTACAACTCACAGCATGCCTTACATCCTGCCTCTACACAAATATAAGTACCCACAAAGTTTGGCCCTACTGCATGATGAGCCCCGGGAGCCTCTTTAAGCAACGAAGCAAACACTTAACAGAACTACATATCTGTCCTTCCACTATGAGGACGTTTCATAACTCCAAGCTTTCCCACTTGTTCCCCCCTTCAAACTACCTTGAACACAGGAGCTACTTCAACTTTCACAGGCCTATTTAATACCCTTCAGCTTTGTAACTTCTACCCTGAGGGCTGAGCAGTTCTGACTGGTGAGTGAATGAGTGTCAACTCCAATGGCTCTCCTCTATTTCCAACTAGCCCCAGACAGCCACACCCGTGCCACCAAACTCCCCTCCACCTCTTTCTCTGAGAAACAATCAAATCAGTATTGCCATTGCTCTGCAAAGGGTATATTAGTAAATTCCTCTACCATAGCTTTACTCAAGATGCTTGCGACTTTCCAGACTAAAATTCCCTTCCCTGGCTTTTCACTGCCCTACACGTGTGGTCTCCCTCATTAGGATATAAGCTTCTTTAGAGCAAGAATTATTTACCTTATTTCTGTATTTGTACCTCCAGCAAGGAGCACAGTGTTTGGCTCATAGTGAGTGCTTTTCATACATTCAGTGCCTCCCTTTTACTTAACAGGCTAAGTCCAAATGCCTCAACCTAACACTCAAGGATCTCTACACTCCATTCTAGATAGATTCATCTCTGAAATAGGTCTTGTGCATTGTCACCTCTACATAAGAATCACAGAATGTCAGAATTAGAAGGAATCTATGACATGTAGTTCAATCTCTTCATTTATCGGAAAGAAAACTATTAAATGACTCATTCAAGGCCACACGGGTGCTTTGTCCAACCATACTACCTGGAAGTGAAAAACAACCTACCCTGTGCTGATCCAAATTTACCAATCAGATAGAATAGATGGATTCTTACTTACCATTGGTTAAGTTTTCCAATTAGAAAATTCCTGACATTAAGAGAGGGTTGAAATTAGGTAATTTTTACCTGAAAAATGTTTCCCAAGCAACATGTAAAATAAAATAGAATGTGAGAATATATGAAAAAATGACATCACATTAGCACCTGACTAGAATGACACCTGAGAATGAAGATGGCAGTCCCAGTTCTATACTTTTACATGTAGATATCTGACAAGCTGTAAAAATGTAACCCCTGGGAATATATCTCTAAAATTATAATGTCTGTCAACAACAACATTTGGTTCCCTTTGCCAAAACTAATTTTAGAAACTTTTTTTAAAGGAACATTCTCCAAAAAGATATGAGAAGATACCTTCTCCCTAGCCTCTGAAGAAATGGGGGGTATGGAGTGTGGAACACCTACATCCAACATAAGACTTTTTTGATATATCGACTAGTTTTGCTGAATTTTCCCCTCCCTCTTTTCTGTTCTTTATTATAAGGAACAGCTAGCTAGAAGGGGAAGGCATACAGTTGGAAATGTAGGTAATATTTTTAAAAACAAATCAAATTAAAATTTTCCTTTTAAAAATGAACCTTCTCAGATCTTAAGTAGGATACACTTAATGCTTCTGTGTCTTCATCAATTCACATCCTTTTCCAATATAAGGTCACAGAGTTTGGAAGCTGCCCAGACAAAGACTAGGCCAAGGCAGTTACCTAAAAAACAGAGTTGTAAAAGACCTTATACACAAATGGCAAATGGAAGAAGAAATTTCTAGAGAAATCCACACTAACAATAAGTTGGTGTTTGTCCTTCGTTCTCAAAGTGGACCATAACATTGGGAAGATGATGTCATGACTTGCAAGTGAACTGGATTTAAGTGAGGCAGGGCTGTGAAAAGTCACCAGCTTTACTCTCTCCTTTGGAGCCAGTGGCAATAAATAGATCAGGATGACTGGAGACAGCCTCAGACGTAGTGGTAGACAAGAGAGGAAGGAAGGCACAGAAATACGTTCCTATTTCAGCCTCTTAGACTTGGTTCTCCTAACAGGTTCAGTACCTGGCCCTAAAAATTGATATTTTTCCTATGGAAAATTTCAGGGGCACTTAGTCTAAGGATGTTCTAGTTGCACTAATACACAAACCAGAATAAATCAATGCTACAACCGAAGAAATTACTTAACTGTAACACAATTTAACCTAAATGTCACTTGCATTCCAACAGTAAAGGCCCAGAACCTCTGAAAGATAGACACTATTCACCTGTGAGATAGTTGAGAAAGGAAGTGCTCCTCCCACAAAGGCTTAGCTCAAGCCAGTGAGAGTCCAGCAGACATTCACAGATAGGCCAAAGAAAATGGACTGAGAGCTGGGAGAGACATCAGGGCATCTGATCCAGCTCCATCATTTTACTAGTGATAGAGCCAAAGCCCAAATAGGGGAGTGACTTGTCCAAGACCACACAGGTAGAATTTTAATCCATATCCTCTGAGTCTAATGCCTGTTCTCTCATTAACAATAATGACTCTATTAGTAACAATAAGGATAAACAATACCTATGTTACTTACCTCAGATGGTCATTATAAGCATCAAATAAGATAATCTACAAATGTAAAGTACTCTGGGAGCTTTAATATACTATATAAATGTCAGTTATCATCCTTAGGTTAGAAGAATTTCATGAGATGGGTTACCCCCATTTTACACATAAGGAAACTAAAGCTTAGAAAGGCTACATGGGGGTGGCTAGGTGGTGCAGTGGATAGAGCACAGGCCCTGAAGTCAGGAAGACCTGAGTTCAAATCCCGTCTCAGACCAGACACTTGACACTTACTAGCTGTGTGACCCTGGGCAAGTCACTTAACCTCAAGTGCCTCGGGGGGAAGGGGGGGAGGCGACATGATAGTGGTAGCTAGGTGGCACAGTGGATATAGCACCAGCCCTAGAGTCAGAAGGACCAGAGTTCAAATCCAGCCTCAGACACTTGACCCCTACTAGCTTGGGCAATTTCCATGCTTCCCTATGTCACTGTATGCCCAGGAGCTCCTGTCTGAGTAGCCAAAGGTGCCAACATAGAAGACTGGGAGCCAGGGCAGTGTGAGACAGCATGGGGAATTGAATCTAGGCTGACTTTTAGTTTGTGCCCTAAGTAAGTTACATAGCCTTTTTTTCTGGCAAGGTAATCGGAGTTAAGTAGCTTGCCCAGGATCACACACCTAATAAATGCCTGAGGCCAAATTTGAACTCGGATCTTCATGACTCCAAGCCCAGAGTTCTATTCCCTGAGCCACCTAGTTGCCTCCACTCTCATACTAGGGGACTTCAACATGCATATTGATTCTGCCAAACACCCTAACTTTATGGTTCATCAACTTACTCATTTCACATGACCTACTCTTCCACTCCTTCGCTACACATAAGTCATACACAATGATCATACCCTTCATCTTACCATCATCCACAAATGTACTATTTCCATATTTGTGAACTCTAAGGTTCCCTTACCTAATCAGTTTCTTGTCATTCCACCTCTCCCTCTGCCTTGCAACCCCAAACCCTGTTTTTCAATTTAACATGACCTCCAATCCCTCAAACCCTCAGCTTTTTCCCAGACCATCACCTCTGCACTGGTTGTACTCCCCATCTTGAACCCTTAATAAATGAGATCAACTCTACACTGTCCTCTTTTCTCAAACCTCTTGACTCCTTACGCTACTGCTGATCTTGCCCTGCCAAGCCTCAGCTTTGGATTATTCCCACCATCTGCTGTCTTCACTCCTACTCCTGTGTCACTGAAAGAAGCTGAAGAAAATCACAAAAACATGCTGACTAAATCTACTACAAATTTATGTTACGTAATTTCAACTGGGTCCTCACTACAGCATGGAAATTTTTTTATACCTCCCTCATTAACTCACTACCTCACTCACCACACCAGCTTTTCCAAACCTTTTCATTCCTCCTTAAACCTCCCATGGCTCCCCTGTTCCCTTGCTTCATATTTCATCGAAAAAATTGAGGCCATTCACTGGCCCTCTTCATCCTGATGGCTTCTGCAACTAGTCCTCCTTCACT